CTTGCTTTTAGTTTTCGTTGTAGAGGGGTAAGTTTATCAAGCTTCCTACACCCCTGAGATAAAGCATTGCTGTTTGTTCCAACATACTGTGAGAATTTTTCACTTTTCAGCTCCAATATATTGTTTACAAGTTTTACAGATACACTTTTGCCTGATATTATGTTTGCATCTGCAACCAAGCTGATAAAAAAGTAACAGTTTTTGGTATTTTATTATTTAACTCAGTAGTACATACTGTACAGTAGCAATGTTTCCTTCTGTGCCCTCTTGTATTAACAATAGCTGATATTACATGTATTTGTGACGAGTTTTGCATGTCAATGATATATTATGATGAATTTGTACAAAGACAGGTTATTTCATTTGAAGTTTGGGATATTTCTATTGAATAACTATTTATGAGTAATATTGGTGCATCGGCTGATCGGCATCATTAAAATCTTACATTTGATGATCGGGTTGAAAGTGCTGCAGCTCGTAGTTGACTTATTTCATCATCAGAATCACCATTCATGCTTTCTCTAGAACAGAATAATTTCAAACTAATAATTTCATCAAATCATCATTCATAATTTCAGTATTAGTATGCAAAGTACAGTCAGTATGTGGTACTTTGTACCAATCTGATCAGTACACAGTTACTGTAGCTTGTCTAAAATGTTCAAATTATCCTTGTTTTCACCATAAGATGAAAGCATTGTATCATATTGTCCAAATTGTGATTGTGTTATTCCTGTGTGGGTAGTAATGAATATCCTTAAGGAATTACAGAAGAATTTCTATGTTTCAACTAAATCCATCTGTTTTGATTTCTTTTACTAAATTGATCAGATTGGTTTAGTTTTATCATTTGTTTTTGTCTTATACTTTTATAGCATATGTGATTTCCCAACCGACTACTAACCTCCACACAAAGGGTTTTCACTCAAAACATCAAAGTATTTGTTTCATTTTTCATGTAGTTTGATCTTAGCCTCCTCAGCAGGCATGTCACCATGGTAATCAGGTGGTCGGACACCCATTTGCAGGCTAAAATCCCATAGATCTCTAGGGGTTTTAGCCTGCGGATGAGGCTAGTTTGATCCTCCCTCAAGTTTATCATATTGTCAAATCCTCTACCTGTGTGTACCCTACTTTTTTGTTTCTAGTCCCTACTATGTCCCTACTATTTCACTTACAAGTTAATTTTACAAAATTAACAGTTTTGCACTACTGTACTACAGTGCACTTCTAAAGGACATTGTATACATATAATTTATATAAAAAATCTTTGAAAAAAACAACAAATAAACCAATAACCTGTATTTTTTTCTGCCGACCCTATTATTATTTCAACGCGATTGACCGTGCGACCCTATTTTCTCTGGGTGGTTGAGGGCTGCTGCCAAAATGGCGTCTGTTGTCACACTAATTATTGAAAAAACCATGGAAAAAATGTTCAAAAAAATTATTTCCGACCTACCGACCCTAATTTTTTCGCGATATGAAACCGAAACTTTTTTTTTACACCTAAGACTTCCAACAAAATAGGTGTGTTCTGCCACACCAGTCAAGGAAGTGGACTATTTATCATGAGATGCTTGTTGAAGCACTGTTGTGTCATTTGCATTGATTTAAATTAAACTACTGTAAACCTCCAACTATAAGCCCAGTGTTGATATTAGTTCATAAGCATAAGTTTTTATGGATTTATATGTACAAGGAGGGGCTTATATATGGGCAAACTATACAGTGAATGAAAACAATAACATTCCTCAGTAAAAGTAATAAAACAATAAAAATATAACCTTTCTTGTTCAATTATACTGTAAGCCTATGAGCTTATATATAGGTGAGCTTCTTTCGGAACGACCAAAATTTGAATGACCAAAACATCTTGGGAGAGATACTGTATGCTTTGACAACTTGTTGTTGCCATTTCAGGGGGTTTAAGTTTCTTTCCTAGGTGAATGGTACCTTCGGCATCACATATCCAACTACCTCTTTCTTTCAAAAGGTCTCCTACTCAGTGGCTACTCGATCAGAAAAATCGCGTTGAAAAAATAATAGGGTCGGCAGAAAAAAATAGGGTCAGTCGGGAACCGGAACCACAGGTATTTTTTTACGCCTCATGTACATGGTTTGAAATGGTTGTTGTGGGCAGTTAGGTTTTTCAACCATGGAGGATTAAATTGCAAGTCAAATCTTCCCCAAAATGTAGGAAATACCATGTAAGAGACTCTAGATCCATGGAATTGATCGAATTGAAACATGTCCATGAAATTGATCGAGTTTGTCTGGCCTCCCTCCTCCCCACCTAACCGTCATTCTGCCCCCTGTGCAAATTAAAAGTCCATCATAATTTACAACATTTATTTTAATGCTAAAAAGTTAATTCAGGTAAAATGATTTTACTTAAATCCTGACCCATGCCAAACACCTGCCGCTTCTTACCATCCTTGTAAGCAGGCAGTGTTGTGTATCTTGCCCACATCTACACAAAGAATCTACTGAACTTTGTTCTATTGGCACTGTTAATTAAAAGGTGATTTATCACTACCTTTACATTTCTCTCAAGGTGCTTCCACAATGCAGGAAATTGGCTTTCAGAGATCCCAAATTCATTTTTCCCAGTGGAGTATATGCCGCAGCACCCAAGAATTTTGACTGACAAGTTGCCAGCTTCCTCAAAAATATCCTAGCGGCACCACTGTTCCTGCTCCAAAATGTATTTGGAACCCTGCTTAGGGCTGTTTATATGGAAGCCGAGATGGCCCACTTAGTGAAACAGTCCGGCAAGCTGGATGAATGTGTCTTGTGTTTATATGAGAAAATTTCATCCTGCATTACAGGGCATAAAAATAGCTTGTGTCGGGATCTTTGAACTTTCATCCTGACAACAGTCAGTGTTTATATACAGAAATTGTCATCCCAGTATAAAAGGGAGATTTCGCCTCTTTCAAGCAAGATCTTGGGAACCAGACCAGACAACCACTAGGTCACCCCGGTTCTCCATATATAAAACGCAAAGTACTTTTTACTATAAAAATAATTACACAGCGAGGCCCCGATTACCAGGCTGTCACGCTAAGCGGGCCAGCCTGGCTTCCATACAAACAGACCCTAATTCCCTAAATTGGTTGCTACATGCATGCTTCATGATGATTTTCACTATATTATTAAACTACAGTGTTTTTCATTCCCGAATCTTACCTTGTCGTTTTGTGTTAATATACTCTCGCTACAAACAAACTGTTATCAAGTCATGAAATATCAAGTCATCTTTAGACTTCTGTTGAAGAAATAACGACATAACTTCATATTTTAACAAATGCTATTTGAGCCTGTAGAACTTTCCTTTGTCAACACGAGTACACTTTTTACTCTGCGCATGCGCGAGGGCCATAAGGCGCCAACCATTATACCTTATTATACCCTGGGTCTCTTCTCTCGGTTAATATGTTCTCAAGAGCATTATTCTCAACTTCATAGTATAAAATACACTTTCAGGAAATTTATGGATAGAATCTTCGGGGAGAATATAAAACAGTTCCCGAATTTGCTTGAGTGCTCCGGTCACGAAACAATAGCTGACATAGCTTGAAATAGAGGCGGATAATGTAATCCATTCGGCAGGAAATAGAGTCCAGTTTAAGTTACCATAAACCTCTGTCTTGCGGATTAAATATATCGAGACGTTGTGTCTGGAAATGTAGAAAATCAAGCGTCACTGCGTCAGAGGTTCAAAAATGCAAAAGTCAGTTTCGACTGACGGTGGATCCTCCAGACCCCTACCCTATACATCCTATACGAGTTCGCACTTCTCCAGTTCAGCACCTACTACTAGTTCTGTCACTTAGGCCTTTTCTTTGATATCTCCACATCCCCCAACTGACCAATTCTTAAAATTTAAAAAAGCCCCTGTAGGTCACTCTCGTACACGGCCTCGGTCATTTAGAGTAAGTTATATCGGCATGCCCTTCAGAAAAGTGCGATGCCGATTCCTGAATTGACGTTTTACGTACCGCGCTGAACCAGGGGTGTGTGGCGGTGGAACACCCCCCCCCCCCCAGTCGTCAGGTAGTTGGCAAATTATTGAATCCCAGTCGGCAAATTGTTTTCGTAGTCGACACTGATTAAAAACTAATAATTATAGCTAAAATTTAGAGAAATTTACGAAAACATAAGGAAAGTTTAAACGAACAACGGTACATTAACCCAAAAAAATGGAAAAACCTGATGTCCACAAAATATTTTTTATGTAGTTTCATGTTGTCTACACATGTACTTAAAGTTTCATGTTGTCTACACATGTACTTTCGTTGGAGACACCATCAGCATTTGCCTCTTGCCCTTGCCTGGGCAAATCGGAAAATATCCGATAGTGACTATGTCTATGACATTGTGCACGGCTCTGATTGATTTACATATGACTGTTGACATTGCTTATAGTCTTCAATATTTGAGTGAGGCATGCTATGGAATTGGAAATAACAATAGATTTTTATTACCCAACCCTTGATTAATTGAATTGTTCAAAGTGCAACTTTAATTATTAATGAGTTTCAAATATTTTTGTCAGACAGCCTTTTTAACATTTTTTTAGTTTTTGGTGTTAAAAAACATGCATATTAATATGCATTATATTATTCCACATTTAGAGCGAAATTTGTAGTCTTTGGCACCAGAACAGCCACACAGTGAGCAAAACATTTTGGTAAATGTCCTTTGACAGTTTGACTGTCAACCGCTCTCAACAAACACTAAGTTCACAGCGCTACAAGAATGGCAGGAATGCGCGGGATCTTCCGAGATCTCCAACCACGAGTTTGTTGGAACCAACACAGAAAAATCATATTACAAGATTACACTGGTATCGACAGGGCCCGCGGAGCGTATTAGAGAGTTTAGAGAGTGGGGGGGGGGG